CTCTGGAGGAAGCCGAGTTCTGCGTCCCGCAGCTGAACTCCTCCTGCAGGAGGCCGGCCCGCCGGGAAACGGCCGCCATGCTGGTCTACGTGCTGCTCTCCAGCATTTCCGTCATCACCGTGGCCCTCAACCTGCTGGTCATCGTCTCCATCGCACACTTCAGGCACGTAGCGACTAGGGGTGGAACGCTTCACAAAATCCACGGTTCGGTTCGGTTCACCGTTTCGTGGTCACGGTTTTCGGTTCGGTTCAATAATTCATGATAACAATATGTTGATTGTTAGGAAAATCTATTATGTCTTGTATAGTGATATAGTAATATCATTGCCATTTTTCATCTAGTCTACGTGTTGCTGTGTTGGCTGCCTCCCTCTCTCTCTCTCTCTCCCTCACCCCCAACCGGCCGAGGCAGATGCCCCCCCACCCTGAGCCATGGTTCTGCTCCAGCTTTCTGCCTGTTAAAAGGAAGTTTTTCCTTGCCTGTGTCGCCTAGTGCTTGCTCATAGAGGGAATTGTTGGGTTTCTGTAGTTAACTTCGGAGTAGGGTCTGACCTGCTCTGTTTGGAAAACTGTGAGACAACTGTTGTTGTGATGTGGTGCTATATAAATAAAATTGTATTGAAAATTGAAATTGAATTATAGTCGGGTTAAAACTGAAAGAAAAAAGCAGTCTGACATTTGATCCATTATTGTGACAGTCTGAGGTTAAAAGCAGGTGAGATTCTGGCATTGCAAGAGAGGAAACAGTGCTAATTCCAACATGAGCTTCCCTCTAAATGCAAAGTGGTCCCATACAGCAGACCTAGAAACTGCTGCTGGCGGGTCTGATTTCTATCTGCTACACCCGGCTTCGCTTCTTCTTCTTGTTTACTACTGGTGGTTGGTTTTGGGCGCAGTACAGCCACCTTCTGCCCTGGAGTGAACACACTTCCCTCTGAGAAAAAGGAGCAGCATATGAACCGAACGCAACACACGCCAATCGAACCGAAACAGTCGAACCCAACGGTTCGGACGGTTTTCACAAACCATTCCATCCCTAATAGCGTTCTGACCTCCCTCTGTTTTCTGTGAACGTCCGCCTCTCTGACCCCGTACTGACTCTATTCT